TAGCAGTACCGAAGGGCCAGAAGAGAAAAACAAACACAGTCCACAGCTCCTTTTATGTAACTAATCAAAAATTAAACCATGAATTAAACAAGGCGGCAAGGACACAACAGAAGATTAGAACGGGACCTTACTAGGAGCCTCCAAATTGGCATATCAGATAAGAACCTACAAACATGTAGGAAGTCACAGCTCATTTAACTTTGGGTTATAACTTTTGTTCAAAAACAATACACTGCTATCGGAGAATCATAATGCAAAAAAATACTGTACATCTAGGGTGCTTGACATTCCATTCGAAATATCAAGGTAATTACACACCACACAGCCAGAGGGGTCATTCCTGTTAGCAACACATTGGCTGAGGCCATTTCCTATGCAACAGATGTACATTTGGGAGGCCTTTTAACAGCTGGTGGGAGTAGAACTAACAAATGTGTGGTGGATCCAAGAAATACATTATACTACGTGTAATATTTCTTTAATATCGCGTTTAAGGTTTTACATATGCCAACGGCAGGAACCTGGTTTTTGATCCATTGTGTGTGAAGAAATGGCAAGCACAGTCAAATACATTCAACCTTTTTATAAAATGCATATGCAATGGGTTTTCAACATAAGAGTACAGCAAACTGTGTTCTTCTGTGTCACCCACCATAATTTATTGCTTCTTCAAATCAAATAATTTTGCATAGTAACATAATATACCATACTACTGACACAGGCTTACACAATATCCAGACAGATCGGGAAAGACATATTTTTAAATATATTTATGGGAACAAATGAAGTCTTATTAATCAATCAATAGGTTTCCTACGATCAGACCTTATTATATAAAACTATGAGCCCCACTTACAATACACAGGAATAATGGAACCTAGGTTAATGGCCAATAACTAAAATGCATTATTAACACATGAGATAAACTGGACATAATTTGGCAAATGTCCAGGTTCTGAACTAAAAACTTAAAATTAGACTATAGGATTGATCTGTTCAATCATAATTTGACTCTTTCATATTAAAGGGACACTGTGGGCAACCAGACCCCTTCAGCTGATTGAAGTGGTCTGGGTGCAGTGTCCCTATTGCCTTTAGTGCTGCAATGTTAAACATTGCAGTTCCAGAGAAACTGCAATGTTTACATTGCAGCACTAAGTTCTGCCTCTATTGGCTGTCTCCCAGACAGCCACTGGAGGCACTTCCTGTATCTTTGGTCCGGTATCTGACGCTGGACGTCCTCACTCGCTGAATGAGGACATACAGGGTCAGCCATTTTCCCATAGGAAAGTAACTGATTTAAAGCTTTCATATAGGGAGGTCTAGTGTACATGCGGCATTTGATGCGCTGGGATCAGGAAAGTAAATAAAGTGTTTTTAACTCTTTATTCTGTGGTGGGAGGGTCGTGAGAGAGGGGGAGGCAGAGGTAGGGATTGTGCCAGAAATACAGCTTTGTGTTCCTGGCACTTATAGTATCCCTTTAAGTGCACCCACACTAATTATAGATCATATTGTTCAGGAGAAATAGGGCTCTCATTTCTCAAATATTTATATATGTAACAATTTAATATGAATAAAATCTAAAAATATATATTTTTTATTTTTTTTGAGAAATGTTGACATTTTCTTATTTTCCTAGTTTCCCATCATACGATTGCCTTTTACTGTCAGACGAGTACAAAAACCATCTCCATGTACAGGTTTTATGCGGTTTTGGAAAGTTACAGGATCAAATATGTGGCTTGTTGTAACGGATCGCCTGGCACCCCGACTGGGCACCTCCGTTGAAGGATGCTCCTAGCACTTCCTGAAGACTCCAAGCACTGCAGCAGACACCAAAACCACCAAACCGTAGGAGCATATGAATGCTCTCAAGCATATGAATGCTGTAGACAGTTGAATAGGAACCATACGAATAGGTTTACTCTCCTAGCAGTCAAACTGGAACAGCATACAATAAATCCTTCCCCCAATAATGAGACGACACTTCACTTTGAGGGTTAAAACAGGAACTCAGGTGCTGGCACACCCAGCCTGGTTTTTATTACAGTCTTGCAAATACAGGACCGCCCACAGGGAGGTATAAAACAACCAATCACATCACAGTTACATCCCACATATTCCCTCCCCTTATCCTGAGAGGAAACTCCATTATACATACAGTTAAAACATACTTTCTACCCAACTTTCATAACTCCAAAACCATACATCACATTCACATAAAATTACATATTCACAATCAATCCATTCAGGGGAACAACATATTCAAAAATGGCACAAATCAGACAAGGGGTTCAAAAGTTAGTAAAAAGTCCTTTGTGACTAAATGAAGCATGGCTTTCTGGCCCAAACCAGTTTCAGAGCCTTCTATCCTGGAGATAAGTAATTCAATTATCTCCCAGGACAGACACAGACTCCATTAAGCACATGGTTGCAAAAAGACACAAAACACTTTAAAATACATAAAGTCACCTTTACACATAACACACAGACATTTCACATATCCCCAGATAGCTGGGATCTGAGTGCACATTATTAGATGAATGGCACTCAGATCACACAAATAAGCCTTTCTGCAGGGGAAATAAACGGTTTAACCTGCAGGGCCATAGTCCAAAGGGAGCAGGCGAGCAACCAGGCTTCTCCAGTTCACAGTGGCGAGGTTGGTTTCGCCACACTTCTCCCCTTTACCAACTAGACTAACAGGGTATCTGACCTCCTGCCGGTCAGTGCCCTGGTTAGTCCAGCAACCCACCCACAAAACAGAAACAGCAGTACAGCCCACCCACAATAACTGGTTACTACACCTGGGTAGAGGAGAACTTTGTCCATGTCCAGGTGCCTCACCACGACTGTGTGGGCAACTGTTAGGCTGCCTTGGTGGGTTGCTGAGTGGGCAGAGACCAGCGGTACTCTGCCCTGATGCCAGTGCTACCACGGAAGTAGCCTGGTGGGAGCCTGGTTGTGGGAGGGAGAGACCGACTGTCTCCCCTCTGGATACACCGCTCTGTGGCTGGGGAACAGGACCGACTGTCCCTACCTCTTGTGCTGTAAGTGCAGAGACTACAGTCCCATCTGCACTGTTGGGGGGTGTAACATCTCCCCTTGCTGGGTTAGGCTGCCGCTGGAGAGAGGGTGTAACAAGCTCCTCTCTCTGAACTGTAAACTGCCGCTGGGGAGAAGGGGTATCAGGCTCCTCTCCCTGACACTCTCTCTGCTGGTGGAGAGGGGGACCAGCTGTCTCCCCTTTCATTATTTTGTCCTGTGGTTGGGGTGCGAGACTGACGGTCTCTGCTCCCTGCAGGACACTCTGCCGCTGGGGAGGAAGGACGGCACCTTCAGCTCCCTGGGGTACACACTGCCGCTGGGGAGGAAGGACTGCACCTTCAGCTCCCTGGGGTACACACTGCCGCTGGGGAGGAAGGACTGCACCTTCAGCTCCCTGGGATACACACTGCCGCTGGGGAGGAAGGACTGCACCTTCAGCTCCCTGGGATACACACTGCCGCTGGGAGGAAGGACTGCACCTTCAGCTCCCTGGGATACACACTGCCGCTGGGGAGGAAGGACGGCACCTTCAGCTCCCTGGGTACACACTGCAGCTGGGGAGGAAGGACTGCCCTTCAGCTCCCTGGGACACACTGCCGAGGAAGGACTGCACAGCCTGCACCTTGGGACAGCTCTGCACCTTCAGCTCCCTGGGATACACACTCCGCTGGGGAGGAAGGACTGCACCTTCAGCTCCCTGGGATACACACTGCCGCTGGAGAGGAAGGACTGCACCTTCAGCTCCCTGGGATACACACTGCCGCTGGGGAGGAAGGACTGCACCTTCAGCTCCCTGGGGTACACACTGCCGCTGGGGAGGAAGGACTGCACCTTCAGCTCCCTGGGGTACACACTGCCGCTGGGGAGGAAGGACGGCACCTTCAGCTCCCTGGGGTACACACTGCCGCTGGGGAGGAAGTACTGTACCTTCAGCTCCCTGGGATACACACTGCCGCTGGGGAGGCAGGACTGCACCTTCAGCTCCCTGGGATACACACTGCCGCTGGGGAGGAAGGACTGCACCTTCAGCTCCCTGGGACTTACTCTGCCGCTGGGGAGGAAGTACGACACCTCCAGCTCCCTGGGGTACACCTTTGAGTCCCCGTAACGCACTCTGCTACCGGATAGGGCGGCCGATACCTTTGGCTGGATCTGCCATGAACTGCAGGTACTCGTCTACCTGGCTCCTTACGAACTACACGTATTTCTCCGGGGGGTTGGGTCCAAAGAAAGCCAGCCGCATGGTAAACTCTCTGTCATACTGCTCCTGAGTGTAGCTGGGTGCCATGCTTGTGCTGCTGAAGTTAGTTCTTTTGTAGATAGGGTCGCTGTACGGGTACTAGCGTTGCCCTCAATTTGTAAATCCACGAACTGTGTCTCCGAGCTGCTTTACCTCGCACTAGGACGCCATCCCACCGCTTGCCAACGGATCACCTGGCACCCCGACTGGGTACCTCCGTTAAAGGATGCTCCTAGCGCTTCCTGAGGACTCCAAGCACTGCAGCAGACACCAAAACCACCGAACCGTAGGAGCATATGAATGCTCTCAAGCATATGAATGTTGTATACAGCCGAATAGGAAAAACCATGCAAATAGGTTTACACTCCTAGCAGTCAAACTGGAACAGCATACAATAAATCCTTCCCCAATAATGAGACGACACTTCACTTTGAGGGTTAAGCAGGAACTCTCTGTACTGTCACATACAGTCTCTTTTATTCCCAATCCACAAACATAGTACAGCCCACAGGGCGTTACAAAACAACCAATCACATCACAGTTACATCCCACATATTCCCTCCCCTTATCCTGAGAGGAAACTCCATTATACATACAGTTAAAACATACTTTCTACCCAACTTTCATAACTCCAAAACCATACATCACATTCACATAAAATTACATATTCACAATCAATCCATTCAGGGGAACAACATATTCAAAAATGGCACAAATCAGACAAGGGGTTCAAAAGTTAGTAAAAGTCCTTTGTGACTAAATGAAGCATGGCTTTCTGGCCCAAACCAGTTTCAGAGCCTTCTATCCTGGAGATAAGTAATTCAATTATCTCCCAGGACAGACACAAGACTCCATTAAGCACATGGTTGCAAAAAGACACAAAACACTTTAAAATACATAAAGTCACCTTTACACATAACACACAGACATTTCACATATCCCCAGATAGCTGGGATCTGAGGGCACATTATTAGATGAATGGCACTCAGATCACACAAATAAGCCTTTCTGCAGGGGAAATAAACGGTTTAACCTGCAGGGCCATAGTCCAAAGGGAGCAGGCGAGCAACCAGGCTTCTCCAGTTCACAGTGGCGAGGTTGGTTTCGCCACACTTGTCTATTTCAGTTTTTAAAGAACCACTATAGTGCCCTGAGGGTGCCCCCACCCTCAGGGACCCCCTCCCGCCCGGCTCTGGAAAGGGGAAAAGGGGTAAAACTTACCTTTTTCCAGCGCTGGGCGGAGAGCTCTCCTCCTCTGATCCTCCTCTTCTCCTCCCCGTCGGCTGTATGCGCACGCGCGGCAAGAGCTGCGCGCGCATTCAGCCGGTCACACAGGAAAGCATTCATAATGCTTTCCTATGGACGCTGGCGTGCTCTCACTGTGAAAATCACAGTGAGAAGCACGCAAGCGCCTCTAGTGGCTGTCAATGAAACAGCCACTAGAGGATTAGGGGGAAGGCTTAACCCATTCATAAACATAGCAGTTTCTCTGAAACTGCTATGTTTATGAAAAAATGGGTTAACCCTAGCTGGACCTGGCACCCAGACCACTTCATTAAGCTGAAGTGGTCTGGGTGCCTAGAGTGGTCCTTTAAATATTGACATATCCAGATTGGTTTGCTAGGCCCTGTTGCCTCTGAGACTCTATGGCCGCCCAGGATTGAAAAATTACCCCCATCATGGCATATCAGTTGCAAATTGGACAACCCAGGGTATTCAAAATGGGGTATGTCCAGCCTTTTTAGTAGCCAGTCAAATTTGCACTTTCACTGATCTCGCCATTATACATTTTACTGCTCTGAAACGCTCATATTTGTGTTCTGCAATAACTTGTAAGTGCAACAGTACCCTGAAATACAGGTTTTATGAGGTTTTGGAAAGTTACAGTGTCAAATATAAGGTTTGGAAATGTTTGGAAATGTAATTCTCTGGTATTTCTGACAACCCAGGCAGTGCCCCTGCAGCCAGTTCGTCCGATCCGAGTCATATGAATCAGATCGGTGGGATTGGCTGTCAGGCAGGTCCCCCAACATATAACTAATAAAAATAATATAATTGTGCAGAAATAACATATGAAATACATTTAGAATTAAATGTATAATGTGCATTCAATACTCCCATTAAAGTAAAATCTATAGTTCTGCTGTTAGCACAGACTATCTACAGTACCTTGCCTGTCATCCCAATGTTACAGTAGAGGAGATTTTAAAATCAGAAGGTAAAGCACCTTCATAACATCACAGTCTGCTTGAGACCAACCCTTTTTCAAAAGAGTTCATTAGATCTCCATTCATCATTTTCAAAAGATGCTGCGCTCTCATTGGCTGAAAACTGTTTACTGCATCTCTCCATAGCAACACGTGAGGGAGGGAGGGGGGAGCTTGTGATCAGTGTCCCCATGAGGAATGGTTACAGTCCAATCAATGTATAAATGGCAAAATTAAGAAAAAAAAAAAGGTATGGAAATGCCAAGAATGGATGTCCAAACATTGCTAAATTGTTGCAGATACCAGAGAAGCTAGGCAAATGTCCTTCTGCCAAGGCTCAGTCTTAAATTTAAAAATAGGACTAGTGCCAATTCAAACTTTAGTAATTACCCCAGGTGGAGGTCTGCTGCTATCACAGGCTTCACAACAGTTCTATGGTTAAAACAGGTTTCTAGTAAGCTAACCCTCAATCCAATATGGAGGGGGGGGGGGGAAGAGATGCAGTATTTTGCTGAAGGTAAAGAAGACGGCACCTTGATCACATCCGAATCAGCTTGACACTGAACCTTTAAAGATGAAAAAAAAAAAAAAAAAAAAATTGACTAAATCTCATCACACATTTTCAAACGATGCAGAGCTCTCATTGGCTGAAAGCGGTTTACAGCATCTCCACACCAACAAGCAAAGAAGTGGGGGCTCGGAGATGCCACACAGTGCCCCCAAGATATGATGTACTGAATGTCAGGCTACATTACCTAACCAGTGATTTACACATTCCTGTTTCCTTCGATCACTGTCTTATCTATTTGCCTAAAGGCATATTATCATCCAAAAACCCACTCGACTACACATATTCAGGTGACATAGACCTACTTAATACTGAACCGATGTGACATTATTATTATTTTTTTTATTATTATTTATTTTTAAAGATGCTGCATGCTCATTGGCTAGAAGCTACTTACAATATATATATATATATATATATATATATATATATATATTTATATTTTAAACCACCCCAAATTTTTCCAAGCATTAATAAGCAAAAAAGTGAAGGATTGTGAAGGGTTCATAGTGCCAAATTAAAACGTCTAACAAAGTCAGCAAAACAAGTTGCAGTTTTTACCCAATGGTCAAGGTTATATTATCTTTTTATTTTGAAATCTGCAAATAATAATAAAGTAAATATTCACTTCATTACAAAATGCCAACATTAAAAGGATCACTATAGTGTCAGGAAAACAAAGCTGTTTTCCTGACACTATAGTGCCCCCCACCTTCAGGTTCCCCCTTCCGTGGCGCTGAAGGGGTTGAAACCCCTTCAGCAGCTTACCTTAAACCAGCGCTGGTGACCTCTCATCCCCCGCCGTCACTGGAGCCGAATGCGCATGCGCGGCAAGTGCCACACGTGCATTTAAAGTGTCCATAGGAAAGCATTTCTCATAATATGCCTCCAGCGTGGCAGATGCGCTTCTAGTGGCTGTCCGGAACCCCAAATGTAAACATAGCAGTTTCTGTATGCGTGTCTGTCGGTGAAAGTTTCAATGAAAGTGTGTGTTGGTTAAACAGTGTGTGTTACAATGGCTGTATCTGTAAGGGAGTGTATGTCAGTGCATGCATCAGTGAGGGCAACTGTCTGTCAGGGAGAGAAATTTGGAAGGGGGAGCCTGAGTTTTGTCATGCCTAGAGCAGCACATAAGCAGAAAACTCCACTGCATATGACTGAAACCACAACTCTTTAATAAAGCAAATCATCTTCCTGGATGATGCTTCTCCTATTACAACTGACCTGTTCATTTACCTCGTTCTGCTTACATTGTTCAACACACACACACACACCTTATTTTGATACATGTACTTTATCCATCAATCCCTCCTCCCCTCTGACATGCTGTCATTCTTCTTCTTTGGCTATACCGCCCCTTGCTCACAGATTGTAAGCAAGTTTGAGCAGGTCCCTCTTCACCTCTTTTCTCTTGTAATATTCTGTATGTGAATTACTTGTTGCCAAATATCCCCATTCTATAATTTTAAATCGTTGCAGATATATAAACGTAATAATAATTGTCCCCTGTTAATACTCTTAAGAATACCTGACAATCCAAACATGTGGCTGACAAGGTTATATTCAGATATTACCAAATTCTTCACACCAAAATTTTTCTAAAGAGGATATTATACAGTGGCATAAGAGATACGCTCACATTATAGGAAAGCGGTTTTCAAGACAATACTTTAGCAATAAGCAAAGGTAGGGGTTTATCAAATGGCAGTGTCCCCATGAGAAATGATCAATATAGCTAAACCTAGAAGAATGACATCTGACAAACTAAACCAGTAAGCAAATGGCAAGCATTACGCTAACAATATGTTTTGTGTCAGTGGTGACTCCCAAAGTGGATGATCCAGTTAATAAAATGGGTACGGCTGCCCAGAGAAGGGGCATGTCAGCCTGGTATCAACGCACACCAGCGTAATGCCCTCTGCATGGTCCAAATGAACATATTCAGGACCATTCCACCGGACTCAAGACTGTTGGCCGGCATGTTATCAGCCATGAAGCCAGTGTCTTGTAAGACTTGTCATTTTCCTAACATGACCCAATTGAAAGTCTAATGTATAAATATATGTTTTCTGTGTCAAGGAGATGGTGAGTACTTTCTCTGACACTGGAAACGAAGTGGATGTAAGCTCCTCCTTTGGTCAAAGATAGTCAAGAATAGAAAAAAAAAAAAAAAAAACATAAGACAAAAGTAGTCCCTACTTTGTCTTATGTTTTAATAAAACTAGATCAGAAATAAAGAAAAGAAGAAGAGATTCTGAGAGAGAAAGGAGTTTATCTCACCCCATATGCAGCTGTAGACAGGGTAATATTCACTGTATATGAAAAGATTTACGAAACATTGCGACAATAATATCCATATTGTCAGTTACACTTTCTAGTAATTAAAAATCAGGAATTTTATTAAAGGACACGGAGGTGAGTATTAGGCTTTATCTCTTTCTTTATTCCTCAGCAGCAAAGAAAGGATATTGCTATTTTAATATAGCAATAACAGGAAAAAACACAGAATACCTTCAAGGGTTAACCATATAACATTCCAAACATATTAACCAATGGGATCAATCCTTGTTCTAGGTCTCCTCATGTGACCTAATCCACCTTCCTCTTTCTTTGCTGCTGCCTCAGCTAGGTACCTCATATTGTTTTCATGCTCTGAAAAATTTGTAGTAATTACTGTATTTCTTCCTGTTAATACCTTATTATTTCCTTATTTTTTTGCTTAGTGTTTTTTTCTTTACACTCTACTGTATATATCTACTACCAGTGCTTGGTTTGTCGGTGTTTCTTTCCCCTTAGTGCAGGGTACTTGCTTTATTAAAGAGTTGTGGTTTCAGCCATATGCAGTGGAGATTTCTGCTTTTGTGCTGCTCTAGGCAAGCCCCTATCCTGCACTGCCGTCCAGGTTGTTTAGAACCCGTTTTTCTTTCCCCACAGTGTAGGGGACGCCCCCCTCCCCCTACCCGCCCGCACCTCCTCTGTTCATAACTAGCAATTTAGCAATTTAGGGAACACTCGGTAAGTTCCCATATTATTTGTGCCAATATCTTCTTTGTGCCTCATTAATGTGCCCTTGCCCTAAAGTGCTTTCACACTATTCAAAGTGAGTTGTTTTCACCACTTACAGTTAGCCTCTGGGTCATAACTCACTGTAAGGGTATTTTGTTTGCCCTGTGCCATTTTTCATTAGTCCAATACTGCTAAGTGCCTTCCCCCAGCTCTCCCTCTGTAGTGCATCCTGACCAGTATGCAGTCCCCTGCTGACAAACAAGTTATTGCCCCCACCCCCCCACCTCTAAAAAACCTAGCAGTCGCAATACAAAAGTCCTACCTATGGGCATTGCGGCCCTGGGGAGTGGGGAGGAAGCATCCCAGGACCACGTGAACTCAGAGGAGTTCCAAGCACTCCTGGATGCTACAATGAGCAAGTCAGTGACACAGGCCATTGTTAATGCCATGGGAGCAAAGTCTGACACACACTATCTCCTCCGCTATAATGGCACCTGGCAGAACCCCCAGCTCAGCCCCTGTATCCTCTAATAGTAAGCAGATGGTCCCTAGCAGCCGCAAGGGTACATGCAAATCGCACCATCTAACAAGTGCTGCCTCCAAAACCAGTGTTACGGACAGGTTGCGCCCTGTTGAAACTGAGGACGTGGTGCGGAATTGGAAGAGGGCAAAAGCCCTACAAGATTCGTCCGACTCTGATTCGGACTCAAAGGAGGTGTCAGATGGGTCCGATGCCATCGACCCTGTTGATTTAGACAACTTGTCCCCTGAACACAACGAGACTGCACTCCCAGCGATAGACTGAGCAAGAGGCGGACGAATCTGCAGTTTTAGATCCCCAAGGGCAACCCCTCTTTGATCCAGATACCCTGCACAATCCGCGCTCAGCTGGCTGGTACCCCATTACGCACGTGGCCATCTACAAAGCAACCAGGGTAAGAAAACCCCTTGATAAGGCCACAAGGAGTAAGCTAAGGGCGGAATGCCCACGGTCCCGGACATGGCCTGTGTAACCCCCGAGGTGGACCCCAAGATCGCCCAGTTCCTGGGCAAGTTGGGATGGAAGGCCAAAAAAGGGACTGGACTACTCCCTCAAACATTGCCAAGACAAGGTCCTAGACATTCTTGGGCCTATAGCAAAAATTTTCGACTTAGTCGAAACTGCTCTTACAGAGGGGACTTCTGTTGACTTACTGGCCATCAGGGGATGGATCCAGAGAGGCATTTGCTTAATTGGAAACGCCAATACCGCTTTGGCTATGGAACGGCGTAAAGCCATATTAATGAAAATTGAACCAAAACTAACACATCTAGCAATTTCCGAGCCTGGCATACAGGCAAAAGGTCTCCTATTCGGAGACGACCTTATGGCGAGTCATTTTCTTTTACACACCCATTCCTTATTAAATATGGGGGGCAGACTGTTTCATTTCCACGATGCCTGACACAAACTTACCTCAGATGTCTGGGTCCTAGAGACTATTCTAAGTTACGGCATCGAATTCAAACAACAACCGATAAGATTCTCATTACTACATCGGATTGTTTTTTCCCCACAAGACAAAAATCTGGTAGCAGACGAGATTCGCGCACTAGAAATGAAAGGTGCGATCTACAAAAAGTCTCAGCTACCGCCCCCGGTTTCCTAAGCAATATCTTCTTGGTGCCCAAGAAAGGCGGAGGCATGAGACCAGTAATAAACCTGCGACGGCTCAACGCCTTTGTCAGATACCATCAAGATGGAAGGAATACACTGCTTTCGGGACCTCCTCAGACTGGGAGACTGGATGGCTCAACTTCCCTCATTCTTCAGCTGGAGACCGGACCCAGACTCCATGGCAGTGGACGCCTTCCTACAACACTGGCCGAGCAACCGATCATATGCTTTCCCCTGTTCTCATTCATAGCACGAACTCTCCTACACCTACAACGCTCCCGAACAATCGATGGTGTTAATAACACCATTCTGGACGGCACAGCCTTGGATCCCTTCAAGTCATGGGAATGTCCATCGACCTCCCCAGATTGATTCCAGGTTTCACTGAACTATTATCAGACCCCAATGGGAACCCTCACCCGCTGCTGGTGCAAGGCCACCTCAGACACCTGGCATGGCTCCTCTCTGGGGACCCGGGACGATGTCAAACGTTTCACAAACAACTCTGGACTTATTGACAGGAGCTTGGGCCCCAGGAACAAGACGGTCCTATACTCATGCCTGGGACGCATGGTGTAGTTGGTGCCTGGAACGACACGTGGATCCCCTACGTGCTCCTATAAACCAGGTACTCAGTTTCCTTACTACCCTGTAGATTCCCGGCTGGGAAACACTTATTGGTCTGACGTCTTCTACGAGGCATAAAATTTGCATGTCCACCTCAACCCCGCTACACGGACTAATGGGATGTTAATATGGTCCTTCGTTTACTGGAAGACTGGCCTCCAAATGCAGATCTCAAACAAGTGTTCGTAAATTTAGCTGTGCTCCTGTGCTTAATCTCCTGCAAAAGGGTGTCAGACGTTCGAGCCTTGGATATCGATGCACGGTCCTTTACCTCGCAAGGTGTCCGGTTTACTATTACCAGACGTATGAAAATCGAGAATCACGTCAGTCTTCTATCCCTCCTTTCCTCACAATGCTAACCTCTGCCCGGTGGCATGCCTCCAGGAATACGAACGGCGGACACAGGCATTTCGGAACCCAACAACACATGACCTGTTCTTGGTGGTGAGAAAACCTCATCACCCAATATCCACAGTAACTCTGGCACGCTGAGTAAAATGGATAATGTCAGCTGCTAACATTGACACATCTGTTTACAGAGCTCACTCCACGAGAGGTGCTATGGGCTCTAAGGCATTCTCCATTGGCTGTAAATTGGAAGACCTTCTCCGCACAGCTGACTGGTCCTGGGAATCAACATTCAAAGAATACTACTTTAGGCCAACAGAACATATGTCATCTATGGTTATATCACAGCTTTAAACTAGCCTAATATGAGCCTCCGTGTCCTTTAATAAAATTACCAGGTTTTACTAATTACATGACGTAAGGTCATTATTTTATAAAGGACACGGAGGTGAGTATTAGCCCGCCCAATGACAGGTAAGTCATACATGTTTTTTTCCCACCCAATTACCGATAAACAGGTAGGAGCGAGTTAGATGTTCAAATGATATACTATATACTAATAATGATTTGGTTTTAAGTTTTTTGCTGGATCCAAATAAAACTATGAGTTAAGATATAACGCTTCTTTAAACACCTGTATAGTTTAAATGTTTGACAACGATATTTGAATATATTTTACCACATATCTCTCTGTCTCCTACAGCTTAAAGGACCACTATAGTGCCAGGAAAACATACTTGTTTTCCTGGCACTATAGTGCCCTGAGGGTGCCCCCACCCTCAGGGACCCCCTCCCGCCCGGCTCTGGAAAGGGGAAAGGGGTAAAACTTACCTTTTTCCAGTGCTGGGCGGAGAGCTCTCCTCCTCCGATCCTCCTCCTGGGCTGAATGCGCGCGCATTCAGCCATTCAGCTCAGGAAAGCATTTACAATGCTTTCCTATGACGCTTTCGTGCTCTCACTGTGAAAATCACGGTGAGAAGCACGCAAGCGCCTCTAGTGGCTGTCAATGAGACAGCCAATAGAGGATTAGGGGGAAGGCTTAACCCATTAATAAACATAGCAGTTTCTCTGAAACTGCTATGTTTATAAAAAAATGGGTTAACCCTAGAAGGACCTGGCACCCAGACCACTTCATTAAGCTGAAGTGGTCTGGGTGCCTAGAGTGGTCCTTTAACCCTCTAAGGGAATATTCGGGATCACCCGCTCCTTCCTATCTATACCGGAACAAACTCACTGGAACGCTCTACCTGAGACAGTTCAAGTTCATCGTTTTACCTGTTGATATTATCAGCTTCGGCGTCAGCTAGAAAGAGGAAGTGGATTAGGTCACATGAGGAGACATAGAACAAGGATTGATCACATTGGTTAATATGTTTGGAATGTTATATGGTTAAGCCTTGAGGGTATTCTGTGTTTTTTCTTGTTATTGCTATATTAAAATAGCAATAATCCTTTCTTTGCTGCTGAGGAATAAAGAAAGAGATAAAGCCTAATACTTGCCTCCGTGTCCTTTATAAAATCATGACTTTACATCATGTAATTAGTAAAATCTGGTAATTATAACAGCATACGATTTGGAGCCTGCTATTTCCAGCCAAGGTCGCGTAACAGCGATTACAACTGGAGCCCTGCGAGTTACAAAGACAGATAAAACAATGTTTCCATTCCAAGAGATTGAGGTTTTTGGGTGTTTTACTCTCCAAATTATAAACAACTTTATTACACAAAAAAATTTCAAAAGAGAAATTAAGAAGAAACACAATAAAACAACATTTGTTATACAAGGTTAAGGGACATTAGCCAGGTCAGTTCATCTCAATAAAATGTTCTGGGTACAGTGACCCTGTCCTTTTAAAACTACAGTGCTTTAGAAAGTGCAGGGTTAATGCCACCTTAATTCATACTGACAGCCACGAAAGGCGCTCCCACCTTCCACTACAGTGACCAAGTAAAACTCTGTCACATGACACGCAAGCTTATAGGAAAGCATTGAATACAATCTTTTCCTGTGGAGAATGCATGTGCATTCGGTCTCCTCAATGAGTAGCATTGAACTGGACCAGAGTTAAGGAGGCCATGCTGTGAGCTGTGATGTGGAAGACTCTGAGCTGATTAGTTCTTCTTTTGCTCACAGTGGGGACATTTCAATAAATGTCAAACTTGATTTTTCAAATTTGTCTTCTTTCATTCAGCTAAATTTTTCTGCATTGACTTGTTAATATTCCTCTGTAGTTCACTATCCTCAACAACCGAATGCTTGAGCCGAATGGATTAATGCTGGGTTCAAATGGATCTCATTGGTGCACTCAGGTTCATTGCAATGAAATTATAACCAGATCTCAGTCGATGCAACCAACTTTGCATGTTATAAGAAAGAAAAAAAAAAAAGGTTTTGAGAGATCACTTTAGAGTTAGGGAGGGCTGGGGATACTATCAGTGAGGCTTTGAGTTAAAGGCACAATTCCTCTGTTCTGTATCACTGGAATAAGATCAACCATATGAAGGGCATTTGGTTGCAGTTTGGCCGTTTGTAAATATTTAAATCTGCCAAGCTACAAATGCAGATGCAGCGGATTTCAAAAAAGACAACCAAGTAGCAAATTAAAGGAAGGAAAAAGGGTTTCAAAATAAAATATTTTCCCTATAAAATGGACACTACAGAGTCCCTGTTATTTTAGCCGTGCAACAAAAAAACTATGTTGTTTAATACATATAGCAATGTTTCCATTTTAGGGCTAACCACTAGTGATGTCCCGAACGGTTCGCCGCAGACGGCGAACATAAACTTTGACCCTGTACCTCACAGTCAGCAGACACATTCCAGCCAATCAGCAGCAGACCCTCCCTCCCAGACCCTCCCACCTCCTGGACAGCATCCATTTTACATTCATTGTGAAGCTGCATTCTTAGTGAGCTGTCCAGGAGGTGGGAGAGTCTGGGAGGGAGGGTCTGCTGGTGATTGGCTGGAATGTGTCTGCTGACTGTGAGGTACAGGGTCAAAGTTTATGTTCGCCGTCCGTGGCGAACCGTTTGGGACATCACTACTAACCACACCTCTAGTGCAGAATGGAGATCTGCAGGTTTTGCAAGCGTTTTTTTTTTTCATATGCAGCCAAGAAAAAAAATGGAGAAAAAAAAAAACAAACAAATAACACATGCATGTTTTCTTAGGGGAAATATCTACTGAATTGCAAAAAAATACAAATTTAATCGAGTGTTCCTTTAAGACTGGTTGAATATCAGAAGTGCACTTCATTAGCATCTGCAGTGCCTAATCATTAAAGAAGTGAAATGCAATTCTCATGATAATCAGTCACCACATAAGCTTGGCCATCATGGAAACATGCATGTGAACACATACTGACATTACACACACGCCAACAAAAACTCACATATACAAAGACTCACGTTGAGCACACAGGAACACCAACATACATATTGCAATTGTACATAATTATATACAGGTCCAATGACATCCACTGACCGTGAAACTCTGATAAACAATTACTTTAAAGCTACACGGTCACACACCACAGCCCTGAAAAATGAGTATTCCATAAAGATAAAAAAAGTACAGACTACGACCCACCACACCCCCCATAACCACGGTACTCAACAAAATTAAAGAATGCCACCTTATGGACAAACTGACTGCCCAAATACGAGGCTCCATGAAGACGTTCTCCAAGACATGGGAACCTTGGGAAAACTACATCGACGCACTTTCCTAAGCCTCCCAGTTTACCCCTCCGCCCCCACACCCCAAAGACCTACCGCTCCTTCTACTAGGCAGAAACATCCGGTACCTCGGTCTAATGTACTCCTTAATAAGCTACTGAAATGCAACAATGTTAAACTTATTTTTACTTAATGTTACTAGTGTTTTCACGTTTCCTCATTCATTCATCACAAAAAAACCAAACAAAAAACACATTGACAGACAACAACAAGAACGCCATTAACGCTAAGTAGGAAGGTCTGGGAGGGAGGGTCTGCTGGAGATTGGCCGGGACGTGTCAGCTGACCGGAGTTCGCCACGAACAGCTCGAGGCGAACCATTCGCGAGAAGTTCGCGACATCTCTACGGTTACATTGTCACTTTAAACACACACAATAATAATGAACACAAAGTCACCTTCATTCTCAATGGGTCTACACACAGAACCCTCAACATGCAGCAATACTGCACAAACCACACACCTCCCAAATACCCCTATTTAAGAGGGACAAGCAGCATTGAGGATTCAGTATTACAACTTTGGAATTAGATTTTGGAGAACCAGGAGTCTACATATTTTTGGACACATACAGCGTTATTCACTAAATTGAAATTTCTCAGTGATTCATGGTGAATTTACACAATTATCGGGCACCAACATATTCTGCAGCACTGTTCAATAAGTAAACAAGACAAACTAAATTCTAACAAAACATAATTGACATACTTAAACGCTAGGTGAAGAGGGCCCTGCCCAAACAAGCTTACAGTATTAAATTTCAAATTTAAGGTCAAAACTGGAAAAATTCACCATGACAGCTAAACTTCCAGTTCCGTTAGTTTGGCCTTCAAATTTACAGTCACCTTTAACTCCAGACACTTCTCACTTTAGTGAATAGCCCTGATCATGAAATAATACCTTCTATTATATAGTTTTATACCACATCTATGGAACACTTCGAAAAGAAGCAAAACCTGAGAATGTCCAACTTTCATAGCTACAGGACTGCTAGAATCTGGAAAAGATCTGAGAGTCCTACTGTAAAAACCGCTGGTGGTTCACAGTCAAACATACCTCACCCAGACCCTCAATTTCAGAAAATCTTCCTATATAATTAATTATTCTATTTGCCAACACATTCAACTACAATTTAAAGTCACAGATGACAGAAAATACCTTAAAATTTATAATCTGTTTACAAAGGCTTACTTTCAACATGTGACACTAACTGAACTGCAAATTATTTATTTATAAAATGTATAAAATATTTTACCAGGAAAGATACATTGAGATTTCTCTCGTTTTCAAGTAATACGCTTTGATTAAATATTATCCTTCCTAGTTTTCATTATATAAAACTACTGTTAAACATGTGGTACTGTTCAGTGCCTGTCAAACAGTTGCATCATCTGGCATTTACTGGAAGGTGAGCCAATGCTATAAAATATTGGCAAAACATAATACATTCCCTGGGGTTTCATTATTGGAACATCAGCAATTCTATTTTTATTCACTTTTTTTTTTTTTTACTAAGAGTTATCAACTGCTTTTTATACTGGTACATCCAGAAATTATAGCAGGCTTGTAGTGACCAGTTAGACCAAAGGACACCCTAAAATAGCAAGAGAATACAGTTTAAAAAGGCACTTCAAGGTCTTAAAATATGGGATTTAAAGTGCACCAAGCTGCTATTCACTCAAGTACTTCCTCAAAACACCATAAACAAATAATTACAAAAAAAATAGTGTACACCATTATTGTAATTATTTATTTATGGTGTTCAAAGGACACCCAGTTTGTCTTAGCTGGAAGACAATGCCCAGAGCTCTCAGGCAGCCACTGCAGGAAATGTGCAGACCAAAACACAACTCTAAGCCAGTACTTCACATTGCTGTAAACCTAGTGTGGGAGTCTGTAGACTCTTATTCTTGGGAGTTGTAGTCCTACAGTAGGTGAGGGTCTACCTTTAAGGTAATCCCTGATCCCCCCAAATAGTTCGTATTCCAGGAGCAGGCACCATGTGACTGCCAGCAGAGCCTCCAATCATGGCATGCTGACTGGCACATGCCAGGCTCTTGGTACCCGGCTTACCAGCATCCTACTGGGGGTGGAGGAGTCATGTCCAGGCAGTGGATGCCCCGAGCTGTGCTGCCCTCTGTGGGGAGCCGGCAGGTCACCCTGATCTACATCACTGCCTGCACTGCTCTCAAAGTCCGACACGTCCGAGAGGAAAGTCATGGTGTTGTCCTCCATGGCGCTCTCCCCCTGGCCCATTGTTATGAAGTGCACCCAGGTAGCATGGCACTGGAGACAGGCGCTGATACCTGACATAGGGCGTCACTTCTGGTCTAGACGTCACTGGTCTGGAGATTGCCGAGCAGAGCGGCTCCGCCAGCCCTGACTAGTCGATTATAACCATGCTGGCTTTCACTTTCTGTTTCCTGATGTTAGCAGCTGGGGTGTGCTCATGTGGAGAGAATGAGCAATATACAATACACCTCCCACAGGGCCTCATTCAGGATGGACAAGTCCTATTTGAAAACCAAGTTGTCCCTATATGTGTGAATAGCAGAGGTTCAAAGCCATGCATTTTGTAATCACTAATGTTTAACCCCTTACTGGGACACTGTAGGCACCCAGGCCACTCTAGCTCATTGAAGTGGCCTGGGTGCATATTCCCAGGTCCCATAACCCTGCAAATGTAATTTTTGCAGTTTTTAAATAAACTGCAATAATTACCTTTGTGGGTTTACTCCACCTCTAGTGGCTGTCTACCAGGCAGCCACTAGAAGAACTTCCGGATAGCAAGGAGACTTTTGGTCACCTAACTGAGGCTGGACATCCTCATGTTATGTATAAGGACATCCAGCGTAACCCAAAACACCATAGGAAAGCATTATACATTGTACAGCGCTACGGAACATGATGGCGCTATATAAATAATAATTGTTATACAATGCTTTCCTATGGGGGAAGTACTAATGCAAGCAAGGCGGTGCATGAACAAGCGCCAAGGGACATCGGTACTGGAATCAGGTATGTGACAGAACGGGTTTCCTAGCACTATAGTCTCCCTTAATACTTCACTTAAAGGAACACTAAACTGTCAGAAACACAAAGACTTGATAATCTAAGCCAATCCAATGCATTCCCATCTAGCAAAGCCCAACTGATCCAGGAGCAAACAGGAAGTGGTGTTTAAATCAATTTAAAAGGCCATTTTACACATAGCTCTTATGTCAGTTCAGAGCCACAAATTGTGCACACAGCTGCAAACAGCTCATCTGTCAGTCTAGGATCACTAACTGTGGCCCCAGCTAACAGAGGGGATCTTCAGGTACCAAAAGATACCTGAGGTACCAGCAAGGATTTAACCCTCTGCTGGTACTTTAAATGCATTGCGGGCTTTGCCTTTACAGGGCTTCAAAGCCCTGCACTGCATGATGGCATAGACCTTTATTTAGTTGTAAAGGGGTTAAACTACAATGACCCTAAGGGGTTTATTTACTATGCTAAGCTCCAGATTTGGCTTTTAGTGAAATACTTTTTTTTCCAGTTATATTATGTTCCACGTTGAATATTAGTGGATGTGGCTTATTTTGGAAACTGTTTATTGTAGTGAATAGAAAATTAAATTGCAAAACTGTGACTAAACATAGAAACATAATAGGTAACAGGTAAACTGACTATAACTATAACTGTGTTGGAAAATTCTTCCTAAAAAATAGAATGTAAAATTTTCCAAATCTTCCCTAACACTTGGACTGAGCATATGATGCAAAGGAATAGCTTAGGGCTGTGTTAAAGTGAATTATGCTTATTGAGTCCTTTATTTTTCTGGCATTTTTCGTAGGAGACTTGATGTCTTAGTAGAGCTACATATGGCCAATAGGGGTCTGCTTTTGTTGCATGTGCAGTAGGTCTCCCCTGCCGGCTGACACAGTGCCGAGGGACATCGGCGTTGGATACAGGTAAGTCACTGAAGGGGTTTTAACCCCCTCAGCAACCTGGGATGGGAGGTGGGATGGAGAGGGGACCTGCAGTGCCAGGAAAACAGTTTGTTTTCCTGGCACTTGGGAGTCCCTTTAAAGTTCTCTCCTTTCCTTAGTAACTTTTTCTCCTGCTTATTAAAAATGACTAAATTTCCCCTGTTATTTCAAGGTCTGGACCTTTTAAAGCCACTACTTGTCTTGACTCTAGAAATGTCAAAGGCAAACTCCCTCTGTTGCGTGAAGGAAAATAGAACTGGGGGAAAGAAGATGGAGCTGTAATAGTGTACTGACTGCTATCATAGTTCCTCATTAGCCAGCTGACCTTGGAGATGCATCATGTCAAGTCCCTTATCGCTGCTTCCAGACAGTACTCTCGGCTGATTTACTGTATCTAGCAGCCTTATAATATCAAATCTTAGGAACTAAGAAGAATAATCACAACAGAATCTGAATAAAGATTATTTTTAATACAGCCATCCAAAATTGATAGTAACATGTAATGTAATCAGCTCTAGTTGGTGCAGAGATGGCAGCAAGACACTCCATGCTGATATTGACCATTCTTTTTCAAATGTGATATATACTTAATGCATTTTAAGCAAACAATCCACTATAGTAAAATATAAAATAATACAATTTAAAAAAAAAAATCACACTTAAAGGAAGTCTCCAAGCACAATAATAACCACTTCAGTATGCCGTAGTAGTTATGATTATTATTATTATCATTTATATAGCGCCAACAGATTCTGTAGCGCTTTACAATATTGATCAAACCATTTAGTAACAATTTGCCTTTCTGCCTGGGGTCAGCTGGGTGCCCCTCCACACCTTCTCTCCTGGAAGGAGAGTCAGGCCCTCCTGCTCAGTAGCTTCAGTTAGCTGTCCTGAACCAAGTCAGTAGTGCAGGGTTAGCTCATTGGCTGAGGGTGTTTGCAGAATGCTCCCAGCCAATAAATTAAACAACACTATAGGGCCAGGAATACAAACATGTATTCCTGACCCTATAGTGCTAGATCCACCATTTAGGTGGCTTGCCCCCCACTTAGCCCCCTTAAAAACAATTAAAACTCACCTTATTTCCAGCGCCGCACAGGTCCGCCGGCACTGGCCCCGCCCCCTTGGTGACATCATCAGAATTGCTGGGGGTTTTTAGCCAATCCAATGCTTTCCCATGGTTTGGCCAATCAGCACCTCCTCATAGAGATGCATTGAATCAATGCATCTCTATGAGGAAATTCAGCCTTCCCATGCAGTGCATGGAAACGCTGAACGGCAGTGCTGCCTACTGTGCAGCACTGCCCCAGGAAGCACCTCCAATGGCCATCGGAGGAGTGGCCACTTGGAGGTGTCCCTAGGGGCAATGTAAACACTGCCTTTTCTGTGAAAAGGCAGTATTCGCATTAAAATGCCTGAATGCAATGATTATACTCACCAGAACAACTATATTAAGCTGTAGTTGTTCTGGTGACTATAGGGTCCCTTTAAGTCCTACACTCAGAGGCGTGACTAGAAACCACAGGGATCCGGTGCGAAAATTGCCCAGTTAATTTCTATATACTTATTAAAACTGTTGAAGTATAACTTCTATAAATATTTGCAGTAGTTCCTGATAACATGTAAAATTGTGCTATTAAATTGTCATTAATCGGGTGCATCATTTGACACAAGCATATTCTTGTGTTGCACTTATTGAGGACTTATCTCTGGTATCATCAGAAGCGGAACCAATCTCAGGACAAAAGGACCCCAAATAGTGACTGTTCTACAGGGCCAAGGACTGCTGGGAGAAATGGAGAAAAAATCTGTGTCCCTCTCACAGGGGCCTGTCACATTTACTTTGCAAGGCAGACTGCCTGAGGCACCAATCGAATAAGACTGTCATATTCCCACATCCGTCAAAAGACTACACATTACAAGGGAGCACTGGCAGCTATCTTTGCTGAAAAAAAGCTTGAATCTATTCTAATCCCACACAGCATACCACTACACCACAATATTAAGGGGGATGAAACTAAAATGGATGATAGGAAGCGTAAATAAAATGAGGAATTAAGAGATGGTAGGAAGGGGAAACAAAATTGAGTTTATAAAATGGGTGGAAAGACACAATAACATGGAGGAACATGGATAAGTTTGAAGACTGAACAAAATGGAGGGATATGAGATGGTAGGAAGGAGTAATGAAATGGGGGCAGGTGGGAAATGTGAGACAATGAAATGGAATGAGATCAGAATGTTCTACGGAGGGATGAGATGGGGTGATAGGGCAATGAAATGAGAAGAAGGGAAACATGAGGCATGAAATAAATGGGAGGGTAAATGAAATGGTGGAGAGAGGTACTAGTTAGGGAGAAGGTGGATGAGTGAACAATGATGGATGAGAAACTTATTTGAGGAACTCCGATACATTCTTACTGGCAGGAAGTAAAAACTATTTGTCCTTTGGACTTTAAAAAAATAACCAACAAACAGAGGCATTAAAATGGCCAGACCTTGAAATAACAAGGGAAATTTAGTCATTTTTAATAAGAAGATGAAAAAGTTACCGAGGAAAGGAGAGAATAATAATAATAACAAAGTATTGAACCAGGAAAGGTACATTCAGATTACTTTGGTTTTCAAGTAATACATTCTAACTGGTATAAATATAAAGGTGTAAAAGAAGGCCATCATCATCAGAGCAAGATTAACCATAAGGCGACCATAGGCAGCCGCTGAGTACCAGGGGTTAGACAGAGGCCCTGAAACAATGAATTTGTATGGCCCCATTAACCATACCAATGTGCTGGATAAAGGGGGCCCCAAACTGGTAACATGCCTAGGGCCCCATGGGATCTTAATGCTTCTCTGATCATCACTGAGCTAGTAAAATATTTTAATTTCTACAGTAATTAAATAATGAAATGTAATTGTGCACTGAGAAGCTGCATTAAAGTCACTGGTGCTTATCAGGATCAATCTGTGTTAGCAATGTCATTAATTTCAGCCAGCAATGCAGCTACCAGAGCAAATCTGCGCTATCTGACCGCACTGTGACTGACAGTAACAACATGCCTTTCACACAGAGCTCCCCCTGCACTCTGTACTACTAGAGTATGTCAGGCCAGATTGCCAGGCTCAGAACCGGAAATAAACATTCCGACGTCATCAGTTCGCGACACCGGAAGTCCCTCCCATGACGCCTGTTGGTCCCAGGTGAGCTTTGGAGGTGGTGTCATGTCTGTCCAGGAGCTGCAGGAACATTTCCGAACCAACTGCAAGACTAGGGAGTTCCCAGCACACAGTGCCAAGGTTCACTCGGTGGCATGGAGCTGTGATGGCCGGCGCCTGGCATCGGGCTCCTTCGATAAGACAGCAAGCGTGTTCGTGCTGGACAAAGACCGGCTGGTGAGAGGGGAAGGCAATGAATGGAGGGCAGGGGCAGTGAATGGAGAGCAGGGGCAGTGAATGAATGGAGGACAGGGGCAGTGAATGAATGAATGGAGGACAGGGGCAGTGAATGAATGAATGGAGGACAGGGGCAGTGAATGAATGGAGGACAGGGGCAGTGAATGAATGGAGGACAGGGGCAGTGAATGAATGGAGGACAGGGGCAGTGAATGAATGGAGGACAGGGACAGTGAATGAAGGACAGGGCAATAAATGAATGGAGGCAGTAAATAAAGGGCAGTGCATGGAGGGGAGGGGCAGGGAAATGATTGAAGGACAGGGCAATGAATGGAGACCGTCAGTTTGATACCAGTAGGACAGCAGGAGATAGTTAGTAATGTCTTATCACTAAGTGTATTATTCCCTATGGCAGGACGCAAAGTTAAGGTTATTATAATTAAATGCTAGTTAGGGTTGTTATAATTAAATGCTAGTTACAGCAATTATAATAACGTACTAAAAAGGTTATCAGCCAATCTAAATCTCCTTATTAACCCCATGCAATGCCAATATTAGCACTTTCCTTTTTTAGTTCTGACATTAATGTGCAGCAGATTTCTCCCCATGGTGCATTCTCCCTTCATCAACTGAAAATGCTCACTTAGGTAAACTCATATTTCACTAGAAATTTGCTGTGTGGTAGTGGTTAACTCAAATGTCATAATAAAATGTGCTAAAATAAATAAATCTTATCTGTAAATAAATATTACAAGCACCGTAATCACTACATTTCACTGTACCATTTTTTAAATAGTATGCACTATTTTTCCCTCAGTGGGTGGCTAGTGATAAGCTGATTCTTTCATCCTATTACTTGCTGCCAAGCTAAACCTTCATCTTAATGCAGCGGCTAGTGGTGTTAGGGGCCAGAGGCCTAACATATGGACATGCACTGTACTTATTTTTTTCAGCCTACATTGTGAGGCAACTGCCTCATTCAAAGCTAAAATGAAAAAAAAAAGCTATTGAATTAGACAGTTGTCTCAAAATGACAGTTGTCTCTAAAATGAGAAAAAAAAAGCTATTGAATTAGACAGTTGTCTCAAAATGATGCATGTCCCTTTAAGGTGATTTGGGATTTGGAAATGTTCCCTAGTCATTTTCATAAAAAATAATGCAATCATATTAAAGGACCACTCTAGGTACCCAGACCACTTCAGCTTAATGAAGTGGTCTGGGTGCCAGGTCCCTCTAGGATTAACCCCTTTTTTTTTTTTTTTTTATAAACATAGCAGTTTCAGAGAAACTGTTGTTTATAATAGGGTTAATCCAGCCTCCAAATCCTCTAGTGGCTGTCTCATTGACAGCCGCTAGAGGCGCTTGCATGCTTCTCACTGTGAAAATCACAGTGAGAAGACGCCAGCGTCCATAGGAAAGCATTGCAAATGCTTTCCTATGAAACAGGCTGAATGCGCGCGCAGCTCCTGCCGCGCGTGTGCATTCAGCCGAAGGAGAGGAGGAGGAGAGCGCCCGACTGGCGCTGGAAGAAAGGTAAGTTTTAACCCTTTCCTCTCCCCAGAGCCGGGCGGGAGGGGGTCCCAGAGGGTGGGGGTACCCTCAGGGCACTATACTGCCAGGAAAACGAGTATGTTTTCCTGGCACTATAGTGGTCCTTTAATATCACAATTGTGCAGTACTTCTTACATAGAAATAAATGTAAGCACAAAGCCACTTCCTGCTTCAGGCACAGGTATGTTGTTGAAAGTCAGAGACACTTGGAGGCAAGTATTCATTCTTGGTTAAAGCGACTGGTTAAATAGAATCTTTACGAAAAGCTCTTTTTGATAGACTTGTAATTTATTTTCCCATGCAATCAAATCATAGATGTAAATTAGGTATTATTTGTCTCATGTAATTGGACATTTTTGGCTAATGGTGGAATGTCCAATGGCTGATATCAAGAGGGATCATCTTGCACATTGTGCATTCGATGCTATCTCACCCCATTTTGAACACACAAAATTATCTTTTAACTACTGGTAGGAGAGGCAGCTTACTTGAAGTACATTTTTCTTATCAGCTCTCCCTCACCCAACTTTTACACAAGCAGACATGTCGCTTCTTGGGTCTTTGCACAGAAGCCACAAGTGTCAGTACAGCTGTAAAGCACTGTTATCTATGCAGTGTCCACATACATTGTATTGTAATATCTCAACTGGAAAGCCATTTAACTGATTTATGCTTTTGTATATTATTTTGTAATTGTCTGTGACTGATATAAAGACTAATTTGCGACCTCACCATTCATACTCCTAAATGGTGTTTTATATACTTTTCCTCTAGGTGAAGGAGAATAATTACCGTGGGCACACAGACAGTGTGGACCAACTCTGCTGGCATCCTAGCAACCCGGATCTCTTTGTCACGGCATCAGGAGACAAAACTATACGCATATGGGATGTTAGAGGGGCAAAATGTGTATCCACTGTTAACACTAAGGGTGAGTGGTATCACTGTTTTATACATTATTTTATTATTAGTGGGGTACTTTACACATTGTTAAAACACTTTTGCGTGATCCAGTGTCCTCTCCTGTCATTTTACTAAAGCGGGGAGCTCAATTAAAGTAAAATTATAGTGTTGGGAATACAAACATATATTCCATCCTGTTCTGTTACCCTTTTAGATTTCTGCCTCCCTAAATAAAATAATTTTTTAACCCCTTAGGGACGCATGACATGTCTGACATGTCATGATTCCCTTTTATTCCAGAAGTTTGGTCCTTAAGGGGTTAAAAGCATTTAAATTACCTTGTTTTCGGTGCAGAGACTCAGTCCACACCTCCCATATTGTCTTCCTGTAGACCGACTCCTCTTTGGCTTCTTGTCCAATCCAATACGTTTCATAGAGATGCAGTGGGGGATGAGAAGTGCATAGAGAGGCATTGACTTTAATATTTCTCATAGAGAAGCATCAGAGGACTTTCATTGTGCTTGTACAATGTGTGAGAATGCTGAATATCACATAACAAAGTCTGACCCATAGAAACATAAAATGTGACAGCAGATAAGAACCCATCTAGTCTGCCCAATTTTCTTAATACTTTCATTAGTCCCTGGTCTTATAGTTAGGATAGCCTTATGCCTATGCCACACATGCTTAAACTCCTTCACTGTGTTAACCTCTACCACTTCAGCTGGAAGACTATTCCATAAATCCACTACCCTCTCAGTAAAGTAATACTTTCTAATAACATTTTTAAACCTTTGCCCGTCTAATTTGAGACTGTCTTCTTGTTGTGGTAGTTTTTCTTCTTTTAAATATGGTCTCCTCCTTTACTGTGTTGATTCCCTTTATATATTTAAATGTTTCTATCATATCCCCCCTGTCTCGTCTTTCCTCCAAGCTATACATGTTAAGTTCCTTTAACCTTTCCTTGTAAGTTTTATCCTGCAATCCATGAACCAGTTGAGTAGCCCTTCTCTGAACTCTCTCTAAAGTATACGGTCTCCAGTACTTGAGCTCAGTTGTAGGAGCATAAGCACCATCTAGTGGCTGTCAGGAATACAGGCACTAGAGGTGTGTGTAAACTTGTAATGTAAACATTTATTGTTTCTCTATTTTATACTGCTGGAACGAAATGGCAGGGACCACTGCAGCCAGATCACTTAATTGAGATGAAGTTGCCTGTGTGCCCTTAGTGTCTGCACAAGTTAGAAAAAGTCAGCATACTTGAATTGGGGACTTTTAATCTGTGTGTGTGTGCATTGCTGTAATTAACCAATTTAATTAAAATTATGAAACCAAAACAAGGTGGGACACAAAGCGCATTTTTTTGTTATGTTGTGTGGGCTTTTTGTGTTTACACCACTGCTGCTTTATTTAACCCAGTGGAGACTGTTCCACTTAAGGTAACAGGGACATTTAAACAAGAAGTTAAACTACACGGAAGTATTCCCAGTAGAGTACGAACACACAATTTTTGTTGTTCTCCTCTTAATATAGTAAAATTGTTTATAGCAACAATATACCGAAACATATTTCTTCCATGCACTGAAACCACAGGAAGACTAAAACATTTAATTTCAGGAGAAAATATTAACATCTGCTGGAGTCCAGATGGCCAGACAATTGCTGTGGGAAACAAGGACGATATAATCACCTTCATTGATGCAAAAACTCATCGTTCTAGAGCCGAAGAGCAATTTAAATTTGAAGTGAATGAAATTTCGTGGAACAATGATACCGACCTGTTCTTTCTGACAAATGGGAATGGCTGCATTAATATTCTAAGGTGCTATGTTTGGTCTTTTACTACTGAATTTCTTTATTTCAATTGGTTTAAAATATCTGGCCGTGCTTTTTACTGCATATTGCTTACCACAAGATTTTGTAAAACTGCAACTTAAAGGAACACTACAGTCATCCAGAACACTTCATCTCTGTTAGTGCAGTGTCGTTCTCTTAACCCTGCAATGTAAAACATGGCAGTTTTTTTTTTTTACAAACTGCAATGTTTACATTGCAGGGTTACATTCACCACTAGTGGCGGTCAGTATGACTAGAGGCACTTCTACTGCACTGACTGAGCAAAACATGTCATGGAAGCCCCTCTATGAGGAGCTGGATTGGACCATCGCAGAGGAGGGTATGCCTCCTCTGTGGCGTCCCCGGGGAGGAGAGGTGAGCAGCGCCGACGGAACCTCAACATTGGAAAAAATTAAATAAAAATGTGTTTTCAACTTTTCTATGTAAAATGGAGGAATGGAGTGTTATTTTAAGTGTTACTCGCTAATGTCCATGTATAAGCTAAATATGTGACTTTTCGACAAAATTCCCTTTTGTTAGGAGATAAGCTAATTCCTCATATGGCTCTTAAGGGAACACTTTATTGTCCATCGGTGCTGGGCCGCCCTCCACTTCCGTCAACGTCACCGATTGGGGGGGGCGGGGGGGGGTAGAGAATTTTATGCGCATGTGCGCAGATAAGTCCCTCCCCATTAGAAAGCATTGACTGAAAGCTATCTTATTGCAGGACAACCTCATGCAAAGCATTGATTGCAATAGCTTGCTACAGTAGTTATGGTGCTTGGAGTGTTCCTTTAATCTAAGACCCCCAAAAATTATAAAGTTACATTGTGAAATTATAAAGTAGCACTACTGCACAGGGACTTTTTCATGGCTGTATGTTAGTAGTGTTTAGAATTCTCTCCCAATGCTGCCTTTCGGTGTGTCTCAAATTACATACTTTAACAAATATGTAATTTAAAAATGTATGCACATATACATATTATGTATCAGACCTCATGCAGTTGGCTCTCCTGTATCTACTATGTCCGCTGCCACGGTCTGAATGTAGAATTCTTTACCTCTGTGTTTTACTCTATCCTGAAACTGTGTCTGCATGTTTGGCTCATTGTCACTCATTGTTATAAGCTCTGCCGTTTTCTGTAATTGAATATGGAAACTGGAGGAGAGAAGCATTGCGTGTTGCCTTATAATAATGTAAAGTTTGCAGCTTTGTTTGTTACATTTGTGTTGGCCATTTAATAGAACCTTTGACATCTTACTGTTACATTTCCTTTCAGTTACCCAGAACTCAAACCAGTGCAATCCATCAACGCTCACCCCTCTAACTGCATCTGCATCAAATTCGATCCCACTGGGAAATACTTTGCTACAGGCAGTGCAGATGCACTTGTGAGTCTCTGGGATGTAGACGAACTGGTGTGTGTCCGTTGTTTCTCCAGGTAGGATACTCTTTTCTCCAATCGTTATGATGCTAACTTGGACATGTAGTGCGAAACAATATTGACACAAACAGGATTATTCACTAAAGTGAGAATTGAAAGTGAAATTCAAATTTAAGGTCAAAATAGCTGAATTGGAAAAAAGTGAGCTGTGCTTTCAGTTAGAATAGTCTGACCTTAACTTTAAAATTCACTTCTCGCTTGACAGACTATGTATAATGGTTGCAGTTATTTTTTCTACTTTGTATTGTTATTAGAGCTTCAGTATGTAGCTATTGAGAGTGAAAATTACATTGGAGAATTAAAAGCCGTTTATAAACACACACACCCTCTCTTTAAACACCCAGTATAAGAATTCCGGTCCATTCCTAATAGCTTATTGCTAACAGGAATTCTTGTGCTATGTAAAAGGTTTGTCTATTTCCACTATTTATGATTAAATACTGTTTTCTTTGATTTACAGGTTGGATTGGCCTGTTAGGACCTTGAGCTTCAGCTTTGATGGCCAGCTGCTTGCATCCGCTTCAGAGGATCATTTCATTGACATTGCACAAGTGGAAACTGGTAGGACTTATTTTTCAGAATCCGTTGTTACGTATAGGCAAATGCTGTGTAAAAACAAAAAAGCCCTAAACATGTAGGTTTTTAATGTACATAAGTAATTGGTGCAAATAAATAGATGAGAAATTATTTGTGCCAATAGTAGTAAATATATTCAAGCCCTAAAAAAACCTATTGAGTCCTATGCATTATAAAATCAAATGCTTCTCGTAGTGGAGTTGTTTGGTTACCCTTCTATGTGTGCCTACTCCATTCGCAAAAGTTGCACAAAGATTTTTTTGCCAGTCAGGAAGAGAGTAATCCAGTTGGCTGATTGACAGCCCAGGGAGGCAGTTCTACACATACAAATAAATGTATGTCCTCAATGAAACCTAAAAAAAGTCTGCATGACACCCTCTTCGGTTAGATGACGTGGTTACTGTGATTAGAGAGACCCTTTCATGATAAAGAAACTTGGTATGGGGGATTAAAGTCTTCAGTCACCATACAAATATGTAGAGTGCATGCCTTTTTAACAGATAAGTAAGTGACAATAATTTTGTACACCTCCTAAAGCATTGTAACCTTAAAAAAAAAAAAAAAAAAAAATTACAGTTAGCATTCCGTTTTATATCCATAATTCACTGATAAAACTCGTTTTTGTTTTGCAATGCGCAATGGTCATATCCACTAAAACTACATTAGCCCTGTATAGTGTATACAATAAAATCTTCCAAACCACACATTAACCTGACTGAGAACTTGAATGTGAATGTCTGCATAGCTTAAAAGTATATCATTTCCTAGTACATGCCTTTCACTGAGCACTATAGAAAGTTAGCAAGCCAGAGATTATCTCTGAGAAGTATGTTTAATAATATTTCCTTCATTTAATGGAAGTTAATAATTTTGTCTTAATTGAAATCTAAACTGTCCACTTGCAATTAGGAATAATAAACCAAGTGTAGAATAGTCAGGTCTTTGGAGTCCATGAATGTGCAGATAAACTGATCATGTTCATCTTTCAGGTGAGAAGCTTTGTGAAGTCCAGTGTGAGTCTCCGACCTTCACAGTGGCATGGCACCCCAAGAGATACCTTCTTGCCTTTGCCTGTGACGATAAAGATGGAAAATACGAAAACAGTCGGGAAGCTGGCACTGTGAAACTCTTTGGTTTGCCCAATGACTCTTAAAGGAAGGTGTTCATTCGTAGTTTGTGACATTTAACGACGATGTGGAACTGTATACTATTTAAAGAGCATCGATGAAGGCTATTGGCATCGCATTGACACCTAAATTTTAGGTGACTCCTTTATTGAGACTGTCCAGGAAACGCCTTCTTTATTACTCAGTTAATAGCACCAAGTGACAAAATAAAATTTGTCATTCAGGCTTAATTTGGAAGTTAAGTTTTTTGCAATGACTGTAAGCTATTTTTTTTAATAACACCTAATAAAATGTTTGCTTTTTTTTTTTTTTTTTGCTTTTTCATTATACCTGCAAATGTGAACATTTGTGATTTAGCTTAGCTAAATCGTTTTGAAAATGGAATTTGTAGGAAAAGATTGTAGGAATTTGAAGGGACTCCACCTTTGCCATATTTTTAAACATGAGTTTAATCCTTATAAATATCACTCCCTACACCTTTTGCATTGTTTATCAGGTATTTCATAGTAATATGATGAACAGGAGACATGTGCATTCTCAGTACATAATTTTATTGTTCTTTCTGTGCTCTGTATGAGTTAGCGTTACTACGTGTGCTTGTAACATGTCTTTGGGCATTGATCCATTGATTTTAATATCTTTAAAGAGTTTAGTGAGGAAGGGTGTTAGTACCTGCTCCAGTTTGATACAGTAGTAATTAGAGAACCCGTCTGGGCCCGGTGCCTTGTGTTTAGATCATGATAGCATCGTTAAGCGGACCTCTTCCTCTGTAAATGGATTAGTTAAATGTGCAACTCTGTTGCTGTGTTATTCGTGGGAGGGCTACCTTATTGAGAAAGTGTCTTATGGATCCTGAGTGGGTTGGTGTGTCGCAAGGTCATTTTTTAGGTTAAGTGTAGTGTAGTATTTTGCAAATTTGTTGACAATGTCAGAAGGGTTATATAATTTAACTTTTTGGGATGACTGGATGAAAGGGATTTTAGATTTAATATATTTTGCCTTTAGTTTATGCGCCAACATTTTCCCGGCTTTATTTCCCTGTACATGGTATCTCAATTTAAGTGTCCTCATCTGCTTTTCTGTGTCTAGCATCGATAGAGAGTGATGCCCCTTTTGTATTGTATCTATTTGTTTTGTTAAAGTCTTAGCGCTTGACGCACAAAACAAAACACAACCATCTATCAGCTCCCGTGTCAAGAGGGACTGTTCGTCTGCATATTTCTTTTTCCTATGCGAGCCACATTGAATTAATATCCTTCTCATCACAGCTTTGTGCGCTCCCCAAATTTTAGATTTGTGTGAGGAATCGGCATGGTATGCTTGAAGGTATTTTTTGTATGGATTTGTGGGGGTTTACAGGAGCAGAAATGGGTCTCCTGCAGGCATACCACTGCTGCTTGGGATTTGTGCATGTCTTGTATCGCTACGCGGCGTTTGTGTGGGCTGTTTAGGCCTTTTACGTTTAAGGAATACATTTTAAATGGTGGTGTCATGGTACTGGTATAGTTCGTGGAGCTAGATTCCTTGCATTAGACCAACTTCACTGTATTAAAAGGAATTGAGTGTAACGTGGGTGCGTTGGGGCCCCTGTGCTAACTCTGGTTTCCCTACGTAGTTGTCACGGAGTTCTCTGTGCCTCTAGGGCTGTGGTAGCCATGCTGGCATGGTGAGCCTGGCCATGTACGTGGTAGGTATTCCTTGGTTTGTGTAAGGGTGGGATAGAGAAGAGAAATAAAGATTGTAGGGCCAGGGACAAATAGAAAAAAAAGTATTTACTTAAAACTTTTGCTAAACAAGCAAATTTAAGACCGGGATGGCAGAGAAGAGGGTCTCTGCCCATACTTCGGTCACGAGGTGGGGCAGAAAAAGTCCTCACCAGTAAGTAGACCATTTGATACCTTGGCTTAGCCAAACAAAACAAAAGCATGCACTACATATATCATAACATTAACAAATTTGTAATGCACTCCAGAGGGTCGTCCCAGACTTGTATGTCTAGCACGTTTCCCGTTTCAGGAACTAGTTTAGATGGGTGGTGACTGCATCATGTCGCCTATATTTGGGATACTGTGAATGCGATGAATGCAATCGCCCCCTTATGAGACCATGCGATAGGCCCAGTGACTGTGGGTCTCCCCGATGGTCAGGCAGTTAAATAGTTGTGGATGTCACCATGGCATTGGGTGTCCCCTCTACAGATACCTGGGCCCTCGCCATTCCAACTCCTGTGTCAGCATCCCCGCAACTGACTCTTAGGTAGTATGTAACGTGTGCACGGGCACGGCCGCCCCCGGACATTCATTTAGCGATTGCATTCCCCGAGCTGGCACGGGGTCAGTGAGTCCCCAAGGAGGGTCCTAATGCTAATGGGGCTTGCATTCCATGGTTCTGGATTCTGGCTATGCCAGTTCTAGCCTTTGTCTTTATGAGATGGTGGTCACATATACCCAGCTTAGCGCGACACCATGCACATACGTTGCTTTTACATCAACCCACAGGGATTGTTTATTTTGTTTATTTTTTCATTTATTTTACATGTGTGGTTTTTTTTAACCAATATTTGTTAGCGGCTGTGTTGTTATAGATTCCATAAGGGCTATGGAGCGTCTCATAGATATAAACTATATGGAGAAGATTTTAGTACTCCACAAGCCAGGTACTTTATACTGAAACTTTCGTTAACTATTAAGGGCAAATAAAGGCAGCTTCCCTGCATTGCAATTAGCTGTCTAACTTTTGCTAACAGGCAAACACATTGTGAAAATATAGTAACCATGTATACTCAAGTGCTAGGTGTAAATGCAGCTTGTTAGTTCGCAGTACTCCAGCTGGGCCCCGCCGTTGCTCCCACCTTCCATTCCGGTCGAAGCTTCTTTGGTGAAGGGTTGCGGGTCAGAGCAGATCCCAGAGCACGGTGAAGGCCCCACTCTTTTAATTTCGCCATCCCCACCTCTGGTTCCGAGATCACCACTGACCATCCTCTGTATGAAACCTGCAGCCTAGTTGGGTACCCCCACCTGTAGGGAATGTTTGCGGAGAGTTTTGGTAATGTCGATGAATTCTCGCCTACGCGCCATAACGGTAGCCAACAAGTCCGCAAAGATCTGAATACTTTGGTACGGTTCAGGTAGGTTGGATATCTTCCATCCTGCTGTCATGAGATGCTCCTTTAGCCGAAGTCTTTTGGAGTGCCTGCTGAGAATCTAGCTGGTCTGGGTAGGTGATGTGCATGGTTGAGCAGCCATGCAGAGTCTTCAAGCTTGGGCACCAGTCTTACACAAGGTCTTAATGTATTGCTGTAAGGCGTCGTGGGGGACAGTCTGTGATTCCGTGGAAGCGGGCGTTGTTCCTTTGTGACCTGTTCTCCATATCTGCAAGTTTATGCTTCAATGTGTGGTGATCTTCCTCCAGCTGCTGGAGCCTGTCCGCCACTTCATTGTGTTCCATGCATAACTCCTCAGCCTTTGTTTCCAAGTGGCTGGTTTGGCTGCCAATGTCCCCTATGTCTTTCCAGAGGTCCATCGTTATTTGTCTATAGTCTTCTCTGAGGGACGGTTTTAGGTCCTGCAGCATGAGGTGCAGACTTTTGTTGGTGACCGGGGCGTCCTTAGGTGACAGAGGTGCTAGGTCTATTTCTGCGAGGCCCTCCGAAGAAGGTGAGTTCACCATGCTTTCGTCGCCATCTTGCATTTGCTTAAAACGGTCTTTTTTGGCTGAGCGCTTCAGGTCGGTTATTTTTAGCTGTTTTGACGGAGCCATCGCGGTTTTGTCGACTGTTAGCAGCTGGGTTTTTCGCCTGTTATCAGGTCTGTTTGGCAGCTTAATAGTAGCTTTGTGCCTGGTGAGTTACGGAGTTCTCACTCCATGCGACTTTCCCGCTTTGCAGTTAGCCACCATAAATATTACTATTTTAATGCTGCCACCACCAAGACAATTTATAAATTGGGTGCCTTAGTCCCCAAGGTAAACTTAATAATACAAACCCACCAAATACAACTTAGCACAATATTTAAGGAATTGCAAAAATACTATTTAGTCTCTTCAGGTAACATGATTCTTTACCAGACAAAGGCAGAACTTAATAAAATAATATTTATTATGGTCAAAAAAGTCACAGTGCATACAAAAATATAGATAAATTAGTTACACCAACAACAGATAAAAACAAAAGGGATAAAATTGCAGAAGTCCTAATCACTTAAGTTTTCAAAGTAAAACTTCTGCCCACGGGGTCTCTGGTAAGAAAGGTAGTGACTCACTTTGAATTAGCAAGTACAAATACAGATCTCTGTATCATTGGATATATACCCTGTGGATTACCAAGCCTCTCCCAGAGGTGGAGATAGGGCGTACCTATAGTAACTAAAAGTGACCACCACTTTGTGTTCCAGACCAACATTATTCCAAATGGAAACATTTGGTTCTATCTTCTCTTATGTACTTGCCATTAAAATAATAATCGCATCTAGGAATATTTTACTCTTTTTCCAATCCATAGATATGACATACTCCTTACTTGTGACCCAATATAGCGGACATCACAATCCCTTCCCCTATGGTTGTTACACAAATCATGTTTAGGCTTGATTAGAAGCTTGTGCTGGTCACATTACAAATATAACAAAATTGAGGCTTAGTCATTGTTCTGTGGGTAAATATTAATGTTTCTTTCTTTTGGATATGATACTGGAACAGAAGGCTTTTTTTTTTCTTTTCTCTTGAAAGCAAATGATCATTAACATTTCAAAGAAATCAACTTAGAAGGTATAGGCCATATGGCTGAAGTCAGCTACTTTATATTTATCACACAGCTATGTTACAATGCTGCCACCCATCCCATGTGTTCCCTATTAAGGGTTAATAAGTATATAGGGGTGTATATAAAAAAAAAAATACCCCTCTCTGTCTCATTAGCGATATCTTTGCCAGAAGCTCAAGGAAGCAAGGTGAAAGGTCAGTGTAGGACCCGTCTAGGGGGGTCTGCCTTGACGTTGGCAGACAGGCATTCCCTCCAATGGCCATTGGAGTAACTAATTGACTTCCATTTGTTTAAATATACATAGGGATTTAGGAGAGAGCGCAGGTAACTTTTTCTTTGGTTTTTACTGTATGTATTGGGGCTGATGTGTACTGTGGTTGTTGCTGCCTCCCAGGAGTGATGGGAGTGAGCGCAGGACTTATATTTTTGTAGTTTAATTTTAAACCAGACTTCCAGGCCACTTATGTGTGACTTCTCACACCTTGCAGAGCCTTTAATTAATCAAAAGGTCAAGCCATATGACCTTTCACATTCCTGTGCAATTTACATTATCCCTTCTGTCATCTGAACTTGCAACCAAGTGGCCACTTCATATATGCACTACACAAATTACATTAAATGGCAATATTCTATTATGCAACAATGTATTATGCACCCTTAGTGTGACAATGATCATTTAAGTTATTATTTTTTTTTTTATTTAAATCCACCCAGCCTCCTACCTGCAAGAGCTGGAGTGGATCGGTTTTCCAGGACAAAATGCCTAATCACCATGGTGACTTGCGCCTGGGATTTGTCAAGGCCTGCTGTAGAATGAAGGACTTTAACCCCTTAAGGACCAAACTTCTGGAATAAAAGGGAATCATGACATGTCACACATGTCATGTGTCCTTAAGGGGTTAAATGGTTGGGAAATCACCTTATACTCCTTCCCAGTTTAATGGGCAGCAACAGTTGCTTCTCTAAGATCATTGCTGATGTCTTTCCTCATTGGCATTGTGTTAACCATTGGCACCCTGAATGCTCCAGACCAGGAAACTTCTAAAACTTCTGCTTTTATAGAGGTGGTCACACTTGCTGATGATCAATTAATTAAGGGTATTTGATTAGCAGCACCCGTCTTATACTTAGCCTCTTGATTCCAATGGAAGCAGTAATGGTGTACTTATTTCTCCATTTTGGCTTTATTTTGTTAAATCATGACATGGTGTAATATGTCATGTGTTGTTAATCGGAGGTTGTATTGACCTAATTTTAATACCTGCAAAGGAACAGATGATTGGTATTATGTCCTGATATGTGAAACCATAGGAGTCAAAGAGGTTGTACTTTCTTTTTCCCATGACTGTATATATGTTTCTGCATCTACAGTATTACCCTGTTGCAAATGTAGGCAACCTTTGGCACTGCAGATGTTGTAGACTACATCTCCCATAATGCTCCTTCAGCCCTAATGTTAGGAATGCATCGGTGGAGATCCAGTCCACATCATCTGGAGTGCCAAATGTTGCCTGTCCCTGCACTACTGTATATGTTTTTTGCTTTACATGTTCTACTTGACATTGTTTTTTTGCTTTACATGATATACTCCAACCAGTATAGGTGTTGGTCTACTAGAATATTGCACATTCCATTTTTACATTGCTTTTGTTTTTCCACCTAACATACTTTTTTCCACTTTAAGATAGCCATATGCAAATCTCAAGCACCTCATGAGATTGTTCTAGTATAGCTCATCGTAAAACAGCCTGTGCACACAAAAAGTAAATACTTAAATTTTATTATGTTGCTATTAATATTGGTTTACAATTATTGCATTTTATGTTTTTGCATATGTAATGAACCCTAAATTGGTAGCTAGGGGTTTGTCTGTGATTATAGCTCGCTGTTCGGGTTTCCATTCGTCTCTTACTCCAGAGCAGATGCAGTGTTCCAAGCAGAATTTCCCAAAGCAGTAATCAGGTACCCAAACATCAGCCGAAACATGATGAAGGGTGTAACAGGAATGAATTTTCTTGTGCCACGCTGGCTTTTATGCAATTCTCCAGGCCAGAGGGACACCCCCTGGACCTGATGGAAAACAGGGACACAACTTATTACAACCAATGACAATACAGGGACAAACAGTGACACTCCCAGTACAAACAGTTAATTCCCTCCTCTCTGCCTGGAGATAATTGGGTCAGATAAAGTAATAACTTAATTATCTCTGGGCAGAGGGAACATATTTTCACAAAACTTGAAAACACCCCAAAACATACACGACCCACACAAATGTCACATCCCCTGATAGCCCCGATCTGGGTGACCAACATATCCAAAAATCACCCAGATCGGTTCAGGGGTTTTCAAATTTCATGGAAGTCCCGTTTGACCGGCTGCACACGAGGCTCCTGCCCAGAAACAGTTCCATGTGTTTAGGCTGTGCGGTCGGTCTACTTTGTCAAGTCACATAACCGAACAAATGCACGAATGGAACCCTCTGCCTCATAGTAGCAATTGTTCCCCTGGTTCGTGGGAACCAAAGTACCGAACAGCGCTCTCCTAGCTGTTTGGGAAAAGGAAGCAGGCGTTCATCAGTTTGACTGGTGTTTCAGGAAGTCGAGTGTCCGATTTTAGTTCCAGATACTTGACGACCAAGTCCCGCTGCCTCCTTTCGTGCAAACAAGATGGCCGCTGTTTTCTCTTCCACGTGGCGTTTGGCGGCCACACATAGAGAGCGCTTAATTGAAGATTTCCTTTAATAATAATGAGCCAGAAGGGTGGTCGGTCGTTCAGTAGTTTGAAAACTACCGAACAAATAAACAAAATTGGAAAAATATCCAAAATATTGTACGAACAAAGTTAGAAAATGCTGGTTTTCTCACATCATATATTGCCAGGCTTTGTTCACATAGGCACTCATTCTACTATAAATCACAAAACTAAGTTTTTCAAGTATAACATCAAAGCAATATCTATGAAAAAGGAGAAAATGTATGCAAATTTACTCTTTCATGGAAGCAATATAATGGACTGGTCCTCTCCACAGGTGAATAGAAACAATTTAGTTAAAGGGACACTATAATCACCTAAACAAATTTAGCTTAATTAAGCAGTTTGGGTGTATATAACATGCCTCTGACATTTCACTGCTCCATTCTCTGTCATTTAGGAGTTAAATCACGTTTGTTTCTGTCCATGCAGCCTTAGCCACACCTCCCCTGTCTGTGACTGGCACAGCCTGCATGAAAACAAAATGGTTTAATTTACAATCAGATGTTACTTTAAATGTTTTTATCTCCTGCTCTGTAAATTGAAGTTTAATTACATACAGCAGGCTCCTGCAGGCTCTAGCAAGTTATTAACAGCACACAAGATAAGAAATTTTAAATTAAACAGAATGTGCAATAAAGGAAGTGTAAACATTAGATCTGTCTTTAAAGGAAGAGTTTAGAAAGGCTGTGCAAGTCACATGCAGATAGGTGTGTCTAAGGCTGTATAAACAAAGTGATTTAACGCCTAAATGGCAGAAAATTGAGCAGTGACACTGCAGGGGCATTATCTAGGCACTAAAACCTCTTTATTAATCTAAAGTTGTTTTGGTGACTATAGTGTCCCTTTAATGAAAGAAATATATGTGATGCACTCTTTCTCTAAGATACATAATCTGTTTAAAAGCTAACATGGTCTCCGCATCAGGATGAAGGGGGTCTGATGCTGTTATGGATATCAGACAAAATAACAAAACAGTAAGTATAGATACATTTAGTATTTTTTCTTGAAAATTATCACTTATGGGCAATGCTTAAGCAAAGAAATATCAGACGTCTTGAAGTCTTCTGGAAATGTAGGAGGGAATATTTTGAACCAAATCAATTTTATGCCATACTGCTTCTTCCCTAGCCGATTTAGGAAAATGGATGGTAAAATAATATGATTGAAATGAAATTCTACTACTTTGGGGGAAGCTCTTGGATAGATCAGAGAATACCTAGGAATTCATACTGTGTATGACTTC